GTCCTGTGATATCAGACAGAGCACACACATGTGGGGCAGAGGGCGTGGGGAAAGAAGATGCCGGGGGCGGGAGAAGAAAATACACGAACAAAAGGGGAAAAAATGAAGACCAAAAACCAAAATTGTAGGAAGATAATCTCATCCAAAAATGTACCTCTGACTCATTTATACAGTCAACAACACTGACTCATTCGGGGTGCCTGTGTTCCTTTCTCCCTACTGCCATTATAATTTTACAATTAAAATTTTACCAGAGGCAGGTTGTAGAGATACATAAATTAAAAGAGCAGATTATACTATAATCCTAATAAACTATCGACAATGTCTAGACTGAAATGTGTTCTCACTTTTGGCTTTCTAACTTTAAAGTTCAAGGGAAAAGGAACAGGAAAATCTGTGTCCAGCAAACTATACTCCACCATAGAATAGTAGCGCAAAGCCACAGCTATGTACCAATATTACAGAGCTCCGAAACTGACATCGACTAACTCATGCTGCAAACACTCATGAAAAGCACATTTTTCTAGGAAGATTTAAAGTATCATTTCTTGGTTTGATTTTCCTTTTTCCTTACGCAAGAACCCCCAAATTAAGGTATCATCTAATTGAAAATTATAACCAACACTTACTTTTAATGTAATTAAATTATCCAGCCAATCTGAATTGTCCACAGAGGTTGTTTTTCCAAAACCTCACATGGGACTCTAAGTAGAGAACTTTCTATGTTTAACTATGTCAATTTTCAAGGGTGATGGGTATGTAAAAATGCTAATATATAAAATTATAATCAGAATAATAGTGTATGCCAATCAATTTACAGTCAGCACAGTAGATTACTTAGTATGGGCCATCTAAGCAACGTCTTTGCAAATAAGGCCATGCAAATAAGGTCGATGTGTCTAACGAGGGAATTGGTTGATTTTGCCATCATGCAGAGTTTAAAATTAGTTATCTCAGAGGCAGGAATGGAGGGGTCTCATTGCCATAAAAAAGAAGAGATAGGGGCAGAGATTGTGTTCTGGATCCTGGAATTCTTAAACACTAGACGTCCTTGGTCCAGGTACAGAGAACTGTGACACCAGAGACAGAGAATCAGCAGAAGCAATGAGGGCACCAGACAGAGCAGCAGACTTCCTGACCCACAGATCCGGAACACTCTGTGCACTGGAGCAGAAAGCTTGTTTGTGAAGTGGGGTGCCTCTACCTGAGGAAACTAAATTTGATGACCTATGACACAACAGCCAAGCAAAGCACCTGAGGCTTATGGTGTCATAGCCTTGGTGCATTTATTAGTTGTGCTGTAACAGTTTTGTAATATTTGCCTAGTCTGGCAGAGGACAAGGGGCCAAAGGGCTGAGATCAAGAACCAGACAGATGGCGAGCCTGTGCGCAAGACACTCCTAACTGGAAGAACTGTGTCCTGAGCATTTCTGATCCAGAATTGTGATGTTAACTTCCCAATAGACCCCATAATTATGAGTAGACTGTAGGTTCTGTGTGGCCACTGCAATGAATTCTCAAACCCAGCAGAAAAGTAGAGTGCACCATGGGAGGGATGATTGATTTCAGAATTGGAAAAGAGGGTTGGAGGGTGGAGGCCATGTCTGACCTCTGCCTGATAGAAATTGGCCTTGGGCTGAGTAAGTTTGATTCTCCTTCCCTTTTGTACACAAAGGAGGTCAGATGCTACCCCACGCCATTCTTACAAAATACACTCGAAAGAGAGAGAGAAGAAGATTTCAGGAAGAAAAGGGAACAAAGTAGAACAGTCAGAAAACAAATGAAACAAAAACTTACAGAACGAAAAGATAAGAAACAATTTAATTCAAGATTTCAAACTCTTCTAAGAATGATGAAGCATACTGGCAGAAAATCAGAACACCAAGAAATGCCCATTACTACAGAAACTGAAAGAGACAACAATCTTTCCTTAGAACAAACACCCTGAATTTGGACTCTTACTTCCTGTGGTATAAGAATATAAATTCCTGTTACATCATCACTAGGAAACTAAGACAGAAAGAAGTGCAACTGTCTTTATTTTCAGACAAAATGAACAAGAATATGGAAAAAGAAAACAATTTCAATCTAACAAGACCACAATAAACAAGCTTTACTGAAGATTCACGACAGCTTACACATTAAAAGAGCCTTTCCCTAGTCACTGTTTGGTCCTTTAGCCTTCTCAAAGTAGATAATCTCACATACCTCAGAGTCCAGGGTTAGAACTGTCTTCACCACACCCTAAAGTGGTTTCTAAACTATTCTTTCTCCAGCCTTTTATGAAGAGGCTCAAATCTGAGTCACAGATCAACACCACCTTCTACGCCTGCTTATCATTGTCTACCTATTCAGCTATATTTTCCTCTTTCAATCATTAACACTTTATACCCATTGGTCCTTCTCACCACTTCAAAGCTTACCATTCAACAATCGAACCTCTCTATTTTGGGCCTCATTATCACTAGGGATGTTGTCTTCCATTCTCATTATTAGTTGGTTATTAAGTTTTTCCTGCTAGATGAAGTGCCACAAAGACATTGTTCACTGCTAATCCCCACATGTATCATACACAGCACATGTATGAGTACTCACTCACTGCCATCACAATCATTCCGACTCAGGGTAGAACTGTCCTGTAGGTTTCCAAGACTGTAACTCTTGATGGGAGTAGAAAGCCTCACCTTCCTTCCGTGGTAGCTTTACACTGCTGAGCTTAAGGTTAGCAGCCCGCCATGTAAGCACTATGCCACCAGGGCTCCTAAAACTCAAACTCACTGCTATAGATTCTGACTCATACCAATCCCATAATGGGACAAGTGTTGTTGTTGGTTTTTTTCCTGGGGGTGGGGGATTGGTATAAGTATACTCCTACTTTTATAAGGTTTATTTTCTCATTCCACTAAGGCCAATGAATAAGTTCAGCTAGTAGGCCTAGCTGACGTTACCTTTAGAAAAGAGAACCATCAAAGACAATAAGGTGTCTGAAAGTTGTATAGAAAATAAAATCAATCAAGTGTTTTACCCTAAGTATTTGCTGGATGATGAATCACTAAGGGAAATTGATACCCATTAAAACCCAGTGCCACCAAGTCAATTGCATTTCACAGTGACCCTACAGGGCAGAGTAGAACTGCCCCACAGGGTTTCTGAGGCTGTAATCTTTATGGAACTGGACTGCCACATCTTTTTCCCATGGAGTTCAAATTTAAGTTTCCGGTGGGTTCAAATTGCCAATCACTGCACCAAGGCTCTTTGGGAGATTGATAAAAACCTTCAACTACATGAAAGCTAATCATAATGAAAAAGCTGGCAACTATGAGACCTGAGATGAGCAATCAACTGCACTACTAGTAATTGGATTGTTATGTTTTGGAGCCTCATCCATGAATTATAGGAGTTGGAGTTGTTTCCTCATCCATGAATTATAGGAGTTGTTTCCTCATCCATGAATTTTAGGAGTTGGAGTTGTTTCCTCATCCATGAATTTTAGGAGTTGGACTAGATAACTTCCTTTTGTGTTCTACACATTCTGATTCATGTATAATGAAAACAAACACAAACAATCCACTGCCAACGATCAATTCTAACACTTCAAATCTTTATGGGAGTAGAGTCTCATCTGTTTTCTGTGGCTAGACTGGTGGGTTTAAATCACCAACCTTGCAGTTGGTAACCCACAGGACTCCTTTGCTCCCATCTAACAGTGCTCCAGCACAACAGGCTTACACATAACCACTGTGAGCATGGCCCAGGGTCAAGCAATGCTTCGTTCCATTGTACACAGGGTTGCGACCTACTGGCATCTAACAACAGGCCCAGTAAGGATGTTACAAGAGAACAACCTGAGGACCTAGAACTGAGAAGATACGAGTTGTAATTTTTGTTAAAGACAAAAAAACTCTAAGACTACTAAAAGATTTAGCATGATTGGACTAGATCAGTGGTTCTCAACCTTCCTAATGCCACGACCCTTTAATATAGTTCCTCATGTTGTGGTGACCCCCCCAACCATAAAATATTTTCATTGCTACTTCATAACTGTAATTTTGCTACTGTTATGAATCATCATGTAAATATGTGATATGCAGGATGTATTTTTCATTGTTACAAATTGAACATAATTGAAGCATAGTGATTCATCGCAAAAACAGTATGTGATTATATATTGTGAAATATTTATTTCTAATGACAAATAAATGAAATTTTGTCTTGAAGCATGGTGTAGCATGGGTAACAGTCTTCACGGTGGGTACTTGTATGTGGGTGTATCTGCATGTGGGCGGACCCGCCTAGAGAAGGATAGAGGAGCCGTGTCTTGGTTCCTAAGACCATCAGAAATATGTGTTTTCCAATGGTCTTAGGTGGCCCCTGTAAAAGGGTCGTTCGACCCCCAAAGGGGTCGCAATCCACAGGTTGAGAACCTGTGGATTCTAACTAGATCAGTGGCAAGCAAATGATGACCCTGGGGTAGTCATTGTTTGTGTAAATAAAGTTTCACTGAAACATGGCCCAATACGATCATTTATCTATGGCTGCTTTTCTGCTACAGGAGCTGAGCGAAGTAGTTATCAAAGATACTATATGATCCACAACCTGAAGTATTTACTATCTGGCCTCGTAAGAAAAAGCTTGCTGGCCCCTGGACTAATTTATGTATAGAGTCCATTTTAAATTTATTATACATTGGAGATGGAAAGGATTACATTTAAATGATTTTAGACAGAGGGTAAAGATAAAAGAAAGAGGAGAGAGAATGGGTCAAATAGATATTCTTAATTATCTCATTTACACTAGCTTCTCTAAAACTACCTCCCAAGAAAGTGTCTGAGCCTTTATATGGATGCAGCTTACAAGGTAACTGATGAACCAGAATAATTTCAAAGTCTACTTGAAACATCCACCATTTTCTCTAAGCTGGTGGATGGCTCATCTTCTAGTCAGAAAACTTCCATTCCTGGAACATATAAGATAAAACAAACTAGTGATTTAACACTTACCGGCCTTCTTTGACTTTTCCCGGGTTTCCTCTACACACGTAGTGTTCAATGTAACCACCACTGCAATTGATTTTTGACCAATCTGGGTTACAAACATCCAAGAAGTGAGGCCGCAGTCTGCCTATTGAATACTTGGCAATATCAGTCAGGGACTGACTAGTAGCTGCGCCAAATAAAAAGGTTCCAATGGTTTTGTACATAGTGGCTACGTAATTATTTCCCATAAAGGAATTTGAGTGCACAAGGTTAAAGTAAACAGACAAGGTCTCTCCAAGAATCATCTGAAAAAGAAACAGAAAAAAATAATTTATTAAAAAGCAGCCAGAGCACTTTAAACATGTACACACAAAAAAACAGTTCATCACAATTTTGCAAAAATCTTTTAGAACGGTTTTTTTTTTCATTTACAAACAGAGGGTCAGAGTTTAAGATAATGGATTCTAAAAAGTGTCAAATCAATTATGGATCTTGCTTACAAAGCAATCGATGAGCCAGAATAATTTAGAAGTCTACCTAAAACAATAAGAATCTTATTATTTTGTATCAAATAAACTGGGACTTAAGAATCATAGTGGGCAGTGGTTTCGTCTGGAGAACAAGACTATCATTTGCTTAAAGGACACAGACTTCCCCAACCAGAATGACCTTTCTGTAAATACTTTTATCTGACAGTCTCCATTTCTTCTCCAACATTCCTTTGAATCAAAAAACATCTGTCATTTCAGAAATTAAAATCATTTCAGGAAGTTAAAAAAGTATAATGTAAATACAAGGCTCTAACACTGATGCCAAAGGGTACAGAAGGCGAGACAGGTGGACAGTGTTTACCAGTCCTGCCTTTCCAAGAGACCTTAAACTGAGACACCTTCAGCAAATCTCACTGAAAGAGTTGGTACTTCCTTCAGCAAATCTCACTGAAAGACTTGGTATTTCCCTTTTCCTCACAATCATTTCAAGTGACTCTTTACATTCTTTATTTTTTACCAGTTTTGCAAAATTAAAGCTATAATTTTGAGAACTTTCCCAGATTCTAGTAGAGTGTGTGTGTTTGTGTACTGTGTGTGTGTTTTTACCTACATGCTGGAGGAAGGGGATGGTATGCAGTGTGTGTTGTATTTGTTGTATAAATATCAGTAATAGTAAGATTTTTAAGAGAAAGAAGTTCAAAGATATTTTCAAAGAAATAGGTACGGACAATAAAATAATTTATCTAGACCACATTAATACACTGAGTTTAGGGTATACAGCATTTCCAAATGCTTTTTCAAGTTATGGACCCAAATCCTGATAAAATGTTAAAATAATGAATTATAAAAGAAATTACATTTGGTGATAATAAATAAACCACTCTCTAGCTACCTTGGGCCCAAATAAATAGTGAACAGTCTTCTTATTAATTTATATTGGGGGGCCAGGGGTGGGATGGTATATTAGTTACAAACTTTCACTTAAGATATACACTAACTTCCATGCTTCATTTTAAGTTTACATACACAATTGGGCAAACCATTCAAGCAATTCTATTTAGTGAAAGTTACCTGTCTTGAGCATGAACATTACTATCCAAAACCAAAACCCACTGCCATCAACTCAATCATATGACCACACAGGGTTTCTAGGACTGTAATTTTTATGGGAACAGGTACCCCATCTTGTTACCAAGGAGCAACTTATGGGGCTTGAACCACCAACCTTTCAGTTAGCAGCCCAACACTTATGCCACACTACCACCAGGGGTCCTGACTCCTCCTTATCATGGGTGAAATAAATTGGTGTCTCCTAAAAGGGATTTTAACAAAAACCTGATATAAAAAAATTCCATTCCTCATCCGACTCAGTGGCTCCTTAAATTCCATAATTAGAATGTTATAACGTTGATAACCAGATTGTAAAAACTATACTAAGCAAGAATGTTTTAACTGTTGAACAGAAAGTTGGTATCCCACACTGACATCAGATAAGAGTGGTCAATAAATTTTTATTAAAGGGGCTACTTTTCAGGTAAAAGGCAAACACATTTAGCTTAAACATATTAAGCCTCAGAAATCTGGTCCTCAATATAGTCCTTAATGTGAATGAACCCATCAGATCTTTTTCTGAAATAGCAGAGGGTTTGAAAGCCCTGTGTATTTCTAGGGATGCCAACCCTCCATAATGTGCATATAGCTCGCATACTCCCCCCACCTGCCTCAAGTGGCTGTGTATTAAAGTATGCTTCCATTCAAGTCAAAGGAGCACTGGTGATATACAGCAGGTTACGCATTGGACTGCAAACCCACCAGCCCCTTGGGCAGGCAAAAGATGAGGATGTCTGTTCCCATAAAGATTCCCAGACTCAGACAGAATCCCTGTGGAGCAGTTCTACTATGTTTTATATAGTTTTCATGAGTCAGAGTCAACTCAATGATACTGGTTTTCATTTGGGTTTTGATTTTGACTCATGCCTAGTTGAAGTAGTCCACTAACTTTCCTGCTAGACTGTTAACGAGGTGATCTCTATAACATTTCATTATAGAGTTGACCACTGATGATTAAAACCTACATATATTAATCAACTATAATTTTAGCAATTCACACTCCCACATCTCAGATTTCTTGTTTAACCACTCAACTATTTCCATGAATGACTCCTGATCGTGGTGATGTATACCTAGTTAAATCACTGACACTGGTTCTTACCATTGGTGGCAGGAAGCCAGATGGATAAATACATTTAGAGCAGTGAGCACAAATTAAAGGGTGATCCATAGATGTAGTGTGAGGTACACGACTAACACTTTATACTGGGGGGTGGGAGGGTTATCTAAAGCTGACAAGTGTCAGATAAAATGTACCATTTTTACTACAATAAACAATAACACTGACTTCACAGTGCACCATAGGCTTCATTCTGACTCACAACACTATTCTCTCTAAAGGGGTTCCTAGGTTATCCATCTTTCCAGAACGCACAGCTTCATCTGTCTCCCGAGGAACAGCTAGTGAGTGTGACCCGCTAACCTTGCAGTTAGCAGCCCAACACTTAAGCAGAAGCACCACCAGGGCTCCAATAGACAATGAGATTCTAAATCAAATCTTCCAAATTAAATGTAGGAAAGTTTCTGTGCATTTGACCTAACAGACTGCCATATTCCTTTATTTCATTTTAATATCCTATCCTGCCCATTGGGCCATTCATGCCAATTCTCATCACTGGATGAATTTTACATTTAAACAACTTGTGGCCTAATTCTAGAACTGAAATAACTTGTCAGCTATTTGTTTATTGACATAGCTCTAATGATATGCTAATAAAGAATGAGAGAAAATACAGTAGGAGTGAAACAATATGGGTGAAACCCAAAAGCTAATATTTACCTAAATCAGTATACCGTAATAATTCAATTTCCTTAAACTCAAAGCCTCATAATATTCTCTCGTTATTTCCTTTCTTTGTCCACCAACCAAGATTTTTAATGTCTCTACATCAGAGGTTCCCAGATTTATTTGGTCTATTTCCCCTTCTAGAAAGAAAAACATTACTCAACGTCCCCTGACAATAGAGCATTTTTTGTACTATAGTCCATAGCCCAGGATACAGTATTACGTATTTGCTTTTGCAGCCTCTGTGGATTGTTCCAGCACCCTACAAGGGATCAAGGGATGGTATCACCCAGGGTCAGAAACACTACGCTACACTGCCTCCTAGTTATACGTGCTCCATTCAGGGACCATTTTCTCCCTCTACAATAGTTTCAAGTCACTACTGCATTTCCACACTCTCATGACTATCTCTGTCTACCTCCATTCCCCTTATTCTACTAAATCAATCTCTCTCTCTCTCTCTCTCTCTCTCTCTCTCTCTCTCTCACACACACACACACACACACACACACACAGAGTCGAATAAAATCCAACAGATTTTTATCAACCTTCACTTACCTTAACTTTTTGGTAGTATTTGACATCACTGCTCATGTCTTCTTCTCCTTATTGAAATTCTCCCTTGGCTTTTGAGAAACTATATTAATACTAGTTCTCTACCCATCTCCTTCAATTTTGTAAATTTGGTGAATCATTAGCAAAACACATCAAAGGCCTAATGTGAAGTTATTTTTTAAAAGAAGTACTTTCTAAACAGGAATTATTTTAAATTAATATATAAAACCACTGCTATAATCAGTATCTATCTTGGTTAATAGTGTTGCTATAGAAATAGTATTTTTTTTGTTTTAAATTTTTATTTTATCCCCGATATGATCGCTGAAGACAAATGGGTGCATAAGCAAATGTGAAGAAAGAAATAGTATTTTTATAGTGCCTATAAACAGTCTTTTTTAAAGAAACCTACATTTATTAATTTACTCTTCCTTTTATTAAGTAGCAAGATAACCTCTTTCAATGCTTAGTTCAAATGATCAAAAATTCCAATCTCATTAATGAGTCTTTACCAAACCTGCTTTTTGTCAGGCAGCCTGTGTCCAGCTGTGTAAGCTGTGCACACCCACCTACCGCCCAGCCATCACCCTCTGCTCTGCAGTAGCCCTGCCTTCCAAAGGGCATTTCTGTAATTATGCTCGTCCTTTTAACTAGACCCTAAGAAAAGTAAAACAGAAAAACACGTGTATTCTAGCTGCGTTTATTTACATACTTAAAGATGGTTTGAAATTACCTATTTGCCACTAAGAGCCTTAATACAATGTATTTATATTTAAATAGTTAGCAATCTTTCAGGAAAAAAACCAACAAACTCCCACCTTAATTTTAAAACCCGGGACTTGGCTTCCTTCCTTTAAGAGGAAAAAATATCAGTGTACACATGTGTGTTATAGAAGACTCCATTACAGATCTATTGCAGGAGAGTCACCTCACTGCATGCCTCCATGCATGAGAACGCAGACTGAGCACCTGTCATGCCAGCCCCCTCTCCAGGGAGTAATGATACCAAGATGAACCCGGGGCGTCTGCCTTCAAGCAGCTTACAATTTGGGGAAGCAAGCATTTGTATAGCCAAAGTTCTCTTTTACTAATTATACACTATGAATTATGACTAGATTGATTTTCGTTGCTAATAGGGTACCATGAACAGTCTTGAATCGGACTTTACATTTTCTAATTTGGGAAGTTTGGGGTTTGAAAAAAACTCGAAAAGTAGAGTGGATATATATGCGGTCATCTTGCAGGCTTTCCTATTGGATGGAACCTTATTTGCTATTTTTTAACTAACATAAGTCTTGTTTCCAAAGTTATGAATTATGGGGCAAAAATGTTGAATTAAATCATGGAATTTTCTGGGTCATAAGATTATAAAGGTCTACTATCTAGTGAGTAGGGGGTGGACTAGATTCTAGTCCCTCCACAAAACTTTTCTCCCTAAAGCTACATCCTCTAAGCATTCCCACTTGAAATACTCCAAACAAAAGATATTTTTGCAGCCCAAGGCTCATTCCTGTCTTCAATACCAGTAAAATTATATTGTGGCAGCTGAAGCTTTTTCTATTCTAGAATCAAGAGACCTGATACATATACAGAGGTATAATGAATTCTTATGATATCCATCGTGTGAATTATGCTAAATACAGTGATAGAACATCCAGTCATCTAGTGCACAATTGTTGAAACAATAGTACTAGATCTCTAAAACGCAGTAATATGGAAAATTAGTATAAAACATACATGCATTCAATAAGGCTATTCTGATATACATTGTTATAATTTTGGCCACACTTATAATAGCTGAGATAATCTTGATCAAGTTAAAACCTTTAATTAAATCTAAAAAAAATACATATTATTTTGGTGAATTACACACTCAATTTTTAACAGCTTAACAAAAACTTAAATCAATTGCCCAAAAGCGATAAACTTGGAAAAGTGGATTTAACTTACAACGATAATACTGAATGGAATGATTATTCCACCTAATAATGCATAAGGTATGGTGTCTTCTTTGTAAGGGTACTTGATGGAATCATCATTACAGAATACTCCTCGCTGGAAGGGGGAATGCCTTGAAGTAAGAATTGCAAAAGGCAATCCAGCTATCAAAAGGAATAAATTGAAATATCATTAAAAATGTCAAAACTAATTAATGGCAATAATTATCCCAGAGACAATATTTAAAAATGCATTTGCATGGAAATGTATGAGCACATGTAAAAAGGAAATGCAGTAATGCATGCAACAATAAGTTAGAGCAATTACAGTTTAGGGAAAAGTAAGCTTTCTACAGATAGCAAAGCTTCCAAATCTTCTGTTAACCAATTTAACCAAGAGCATCCTCTTTCTGTGTCTGTTCAAAGAGATTAATAGATTTGGGAAAAATCTCTTCTTCTTCTCCTGTTGTCATTAAGCCATACGGCTTTCAGCACTATTTCTAAGCCAACTTGTCATTAACTTTGCTTTCAAAAGAAACAAAACCACACACTTGGGCACCCTCCATTTACTACCACATTTGGACAGAATATGGTCACTGGCTAAGCTCTCACTTAAACAAAGCTTTATCCACTCATTTCTGTCCCACCTATGGCAGCTTTTGAGCTGCTATGAAAAGGAAACTTAATGACATTTCTTAAGAAAATGAATGACAGAGCCAAGTTCAAAAGCATTTAGAGCAGGCTCTGTTTTCCTCTTTTAATGTTGCCATAAAAATCATATTTCACATTCATTTCCTAAGATGCTTAAATGTGAACTTTAAGAACTGAATTCTCCTTTACTTCAGTGAACCTGGCATATTGCTCTATTCTTCAGCATAATGATTGGAACTGCTTTCTACAGAGATACAGCTTGGTCAAAGCCCCCAACACAAAGTATGACTTCAGACTTACCCAGAATGAAAGGCTCTCACTCTCTCTGGGAGGGCTCATTGTCGCAGCAGTGTCACCACAAGTAAGCCAACAGACTCACCACATCCTGACGACCACTTACGAGTTCTCAGGAATTCCACTGAAGCCCGACAGGTTGACAGACAACCCTGCTTCTGCCACTCTACCGAGTATGTATATACCAAAATCTAAAGTATTCAATCTACAATTGCCAAGGGAAAAGGAGAAGCACTTGAAGTCTCATTTCTTTCATCCCAAGTTTTTCATTTGTCTTGAGATTTTTCATGTAGATCCTGAACACATGGACTAAATTTTGCTTTTTTTGTTCGAGTCAATCTGCCAATAGCTATTAATCCTTTTAAACGCTTAAGATGTTTACAAGATTCTCAAAGTCATACCTCTGGTAAATACTACATTTTTTTAAAGGTATAAAAAGAGTAACATCCATTGTGCCAACAGCACCCATAGGAACATGTGGGTGGAGTTTAGTCTACCAATCAGGTCACAGCTTGATGACCTCTGTTGGAGACACAACTGAGATAACTGGCTCTCCAAGGTGAGCCCCTTCCTCTTTCTCCCTGGTGCTGGAACCAGAGCACTGTCTGAGTTAGCTGCCTGCCTCTACACATGTACTGTGCTACCTGTGGGCCTAACCTGTGGCCTGTGAATCATGTCACAGTGCCATGCTGTTCCACACAACGGTGCTGCCCCACCTTGCCGTTTCTGCTGCCTGGTGACGATTCCACTCACTTTGCCTTGGCTGCAAACACCATACCTCATGCCACTTCACATCGCTATGCAGTGAGGCTCCACTGCAACCTGCTCTGCTATGCTGAGCTACCTCTACTATACCTCGACATCTCATCGTTTTACTGTCTGCTTCCTCAGACTCATGAGATGGAAGGGCCTTCAGTACATTAACTGCCCCATGAAAGTGAGGTGGACTGAGCTCTCTGTGCTGCTGTGTAGACTAATTTGCTGTTGTATTCCTTTTCGCTATATAAACCTATCCATATGTGTGTGTGTGTGTGTGTGTGTGTGTGTATGTGTATGTAATCTTAAGTGTCCTGGTTTGTTTCTCTAGAGAACTCTGCCTAACCTATCCATCAGAAGATGAAAACATAAAATGTGATGGATCCATACAAGGAACCATGGAGACACAGTGGTTAAGCACTTGCCTACTAACCCAAAGGTTGGCAATTCGAACCCACCAGCAGCTCCACAGGAGAAAGCATTCTGCTTTCACAGCCTTGGAACTCCATGGGACAGTTCTACTTTTTCCTCAAGGATAATGAGTTGTAATTGACTTGATGGCAACACATTTTAGTTTACATCCATAAAGTAGAATATTATTCACTTTTAGCTAAATTCTAAAACATGCTATACTTCAGAGATGAACTTTGAAATCATACTAGGTGAAGACAGACACAAAAGGCAAATTGCATAATTCCCACTTATATTAAATACTGGTGGATTGGAAGTTATGTAGTGATGGCATTTGACAGTTATATAATAAAAATTTGGCAATAATATAATGATGTAATTTGGTGTTTATGGATGATAGCGTAACACTGATTGAAGCATAACAACCTGGTCTTTGGACCCCAACCATGTGAATAAATGAGAAGTGGGTGTAAGTATGAATCTCTAAGAAATGCATAAGAGGGAAGAAATTGGGTCACAAATGAATTAGAAATGAGTTTTAAATCATAGTGGCCAGTATTCGTGATCCTTCATTCAAGCTGATAAAATATACTATATCAATGCTGTTGTTTCAAGTCACTTCATTTTCACTTAGTATCTAGACTTCCAGAGGAGGAAAGGGTTGGAATGGGACTACACGATAGTGTGGTTGTTTACTGAGCCATTTGAATCTCAAGAAGATGAGCTGGTCCAGATTCTTCTGGTCATTTTAGAAATGAAACACAAATGGAATCAATCAGCACTGGCAGACAGCATTAGGCCAGGTATAAGTGCAATGCAGTGAATATGGTTCTTTTAGCCATAGCTTGGTTACTGCCACCAAATGTTTATTTTCCTGATGGGTCTGAGTAAGAGATGGTGTGAGAAGACACTGATTATATAATAATCATTGGATTATTATTTAAATCATATATATGTTCTTTTAGCTATAGCTTGGTTACTGCCACCAAACGTTTATTTTCCTGATGGGTCTGAGTAAGAGACTGTGTGGGAAGACACATTGGATTATATGATTTCACTGTGATTGCTAACAAGGTTAACTGTGATTGCCACCCTGCTGGGTATAAAATGAGCCATCTCAGAAGCAGGAGGAGGGGAGAGCTCTCACTATCAGCAAAAAAGAAGAGCCAGGAGTGGAATTTGTCTTCCGGATCCCAAGATCACTACATATTGAACCTCCTTAATCCAGGAGGCAGCTTTGACAAGAGAAAAGGCAGAGGAGCAACAGCAGAGCCAAGAGCTTGAGCATGAGAGAGAGTGCTTTGGGCTGAAGGCTGGCCTGTAGAAAGGGGTGCCTCTGGGCACTTAATTTAGGGAGCTGGGTATGCTGACCCATGGAGGTGTAACTGAGTGTCTTTGGGGTGAGGGTTATAGTGGAGAGGCATACCCTTTGGATGTTAATTAGCAGCCCCAAAGAGCTTTGTGAGATTGCCTGAGTAGGTCAAAGGCCAGAGGGTGAGGGCCAGAGAGAGACCTGCCTGTGGGTACACAAAGAAAAAACTAAACAACGGTATCCTAAACATTTTTCACCTGAATTGTAACCTGTTAACCTCCCTAATAAACCTCAGAATCATGAGTACCATGTGAATTCTGTGTAGTCATTGCAATAAATTATGGAACTCGGCAGACAAGTAGAGTGTGGAGAAACTGAGTGCTATGGGAGAACAGTTGGTGTCAGGACAGGGTTAAGAAGGATGGAGGCAGGGGGCATGTCTGACCTTTGTCTCTTTCTTGGCACTGAGCCTGAGCACCCACATCTGTTGTGCAGCAATGAAAAGTGGCTAAATCAGCAGTTGAGAATGGAGCAGGCGTCCAGGGAAGAAGCGCCTCATACGACCCCTTGAGCATGGGAACGGGGCGGCGGCAGCCTCAGCTCCCCTCTGCCGATCTTGCTGCCCTGAAGTTCTGACACTCTGAAAGGGTTTCTGCTCCTTGCAACCACGAGAGTCATAACAGAAACATTCATAACTTAACTACTCCCCTTACACATTGAGAGTGCGTCGATTACTTTTTATTTTCTAATTACCCTATATACTGCTGTAAAGAACATATCCAAATATTAATCCGTATTTATGTCTATTTCCTTGGAATATATTCCTTTACATGGAATATGCCCAAGTATTAACTTTAAAGTCCTTTCCAAATTGCTTGAAAGGCTATTTTATGCCACTAATTTATCCCACAAGGCATAGAAAAGAAGTGTGGGAAAATACAAAAATTTAAGTAGAAATATTTGATGTTATCAATTTAAACAAAAAATGAAAGGTTTAATTTACTTGTGTATAAATTCATACACAACACTTTTCTTTTAACCTGAAAGATTACATATCAAGAAAAATCCTTTCATAATTTATCAAATGTCTAACATATAAATAATGTTTAAGGCTTCAGCTAACAAAATTAATTTTCATCCTGTTTTACATTATTGAAGAATGATTTGGATATCATAAGATTAATCTATTTTAAGTATACAATTCATTGATTTTGGTAAATTATAGACTTGTGCAACCATCACTAGAAGTCATTTTTTAGAACATTTCCATCACTCCAGTATTCCCCTCTAGCCTACCTGTGTGGTCCATACATACTTCCAATAGAAGCCTAGCGACAACTGCTTTCTGTCTCCATAAACATTTGTCTTTTCTACATTTCATATAAATAGAATCACACATTATACAGTCTTTTGTTATGCGACATCTTTCATTAAGGTTAATATTTTTGAAGTTCATCCATGTTGCACCATGCATTTTGTCTCCTTTCTTACCAGATAGCTGTCTATTGTATATATGGGGGATTTCAGAAAGGACACGAAAAAATTTCATTCTTTCTCAATTCCTTTTTTCTTTTCAGGAAATTTTTTAAACCCCCCTCCCTATATATCTTGTTCTGTTTACCAGTTAATGGCATTTAGGATTGTTTCCAGTTTGAAGCTAAGATGATTAGTATAAAAAGGCATGGAAAGCCTTTGTGTGGTCATATATTTAAATTTGTGATGGTTAGATTCCTATGAAAGGAACTGCTATATTATATAGTAAGTTTATGTTTAACATTTTAAGAAACTCCAAACAGTTTTCCAAAGTGGCTGTACCATTTAACATTTCCAGACTCCTTTTAATATGCCCATGTGTCTAATTATAGTTAACTGACTTCAGAAGCAGACTCTGCATAGTAAACTGATTCCCACACAAATAAATGCAGTTTTCTATAGTCTATCATTGAATATTAAAATGGCTCAAAATACACATGTAATATAGTAACTCATCACTTCCACACACTAAATATCACATTTCTCCATCTTTTACTAGACACAGGAAAAGATAACATAACAACATGGTTACACTGCATCTTCTATAACTTCCTCTTGTGCAAATATTCAGAATCTTGAAACCATAATATATATACTGACAGAATTGTTTTAGAAAACTGGTGGTTGGGTATCCGGCAAAACTAAGAAACTTTGCTTTAAAACAATTTTATATGTACAGAAAACTTTTAATAATAGTAAAAACTACCCAAATGCCTCCAGAATAATGTTTTTAAGGTTAATATGTGTCAATATTTTGTTCCTTTTTATTGTTGATAGTAGAGCCATGTACCGCTTAACATCCATAATACATTCTGTGAAATGGGCATTATGTGGTTTGGATGCTGTGTGAACACCATATTATATAGAGGCAGTTCCCAGATTATTAAAAGTCTAGTTTGTATATAAGGAAGAACAGTTGGGTGCAGTTTGTGTCTAACATTAGTTATCCAAATGTTTGTCTTAGTGTATAATAAAAATAGTGTACCTTTCCATGCATTAAAAAACATTACAGAAATACTTTCAGATACATTAAAAATACCTTTAACCTAATAACACAAAAATAATGCTTGATGCTCATTGCAAAGTAGCACCCACTTTTTATTATAAACCATTGTTTGTACCTTAATTTATTTTCTTTCTTTTAAAAATTTTTTCCCACTTTTACTGGCAAGTATACACATATCATATAATTCAATAGTTCAATAGTCACTCAATCATATCATGGAGAATTGTACAATCGCCCCCACATCAATTTTGTAGCATTCTCTCTCCCCCATGGTCAACTCGCCTTTAAGATGATTCTTGCAATCACAATCCATTCTAGTGCTCCCCTTCCCCACTCCTGTCTCTTCATCAGTTACTCCCGAAATACCCTTTTCCTATCTTCCCCTGCCCTCCACTTCTGTATTCCCTTAATCCACTTTATCCATAATTTTCATTATGCATTCGAATGTGCTTCACAGCTAGGAGACCCAGCCGAAAGCAATAGAAAACAAAATCGCACTAAGGAGGTGGGTAAAAACACAATAGTACATAGATGAAAATACCAATAGTGCAAAAGAAGGCAATGACTTCCCAACAATAATTGAAAAGCCAGAGAAGAAATCTGTGTCATAGTAACAGTAAGAGATACTTGCACCCAAACCAAATTCAGATCGGTCTATAGAGTAATCAACTGGCCAAGTGTCCAGTTCAATCCAGTATAATCAATCGGGATTACAATGGTATCTTTCTGTGATAGTAAGGCTGATCAAGACTCTTGCCTGAGGCT